CAAATAGAAAACTGTGGTCAATAACAACATACTGAAGAGTTTACTCTATTTTCCAATTTTCTTCAGTTTTATTTCACATGTGTCGCATCTGCATATGTAAAAGATACAGGAGACGTTTCAGTACATGTGCAGTCTGTAATGGTGGCCAGAGTAATGGAAAATCAACCCTGCATACCTCAAAAATATGTCTTAGCTGTTTTAAAATATTCAAATATGTCTTGTCAACCAGAGTCAGCTTGCTGTGCTATAGAGCATGAGAGAAGTCGTGCTGCCCAGTCTCAGCCCTGTCCTGTTTACTGTCCTCTCTCCTTCTAAACTCTCTCCACCCTTCTTCTAAACTCTCCTCAGACCCTGTAACCACTGCTTGACTTTCTAATTCTGTGAGACAAACTCTCTGGAGATTTCATAGAATGGTCCACCTGGAAGAACTGTCTTGACAATCAAGAAAAATCACTTTCTATGTTACCTATGAAGAAACCCAGTAAGGAGAGAAGAAATACAGACACTGTAGTCAGAGCCTCTGCTAATGGCAGGCATTAGAGCAGGACCACTATATGACAGCCGGGTCCCTGATATTCACTGTCTGGGGGTAGAGGGATACTCTTCACATCGCTTCATAGCATCTTTGCAAGGTAAACGTTCATTAATCTCTCCTGTTCCAGATGAGGAACTTAGCTCAAGGAAACAGACTGATTCATCTAAAGTCATAAAGCTAGTATGTTAAAAACAAAGTCCATATTTCCCTTTTTGAGGGATTCTTCAAAAAGCTAACTGGAAAGAATTCGTGCACAGTCGTACATGGTGTGGAAGAAGTCCTACGGTACCAAGCTAACTACTGGTTCCTTTGTTTACCTCAAAGCAATCCTGATTTCAGATTAATAATAATAATAAACAATAACTCAGAATCCATTTCAGCAGAGTCCCAGTTTCCATCTAGCTCCTGTGTGCTGTCACCTGTTGGATCCAGGCATCTCTTCCTGAGCCTAGTTTCCATTTCTGTCTCCAGGTCATACCCTCCTCCTAGCTGTCTCATGGTGCTCACTCAGGGTGCTCAATTAACCGTCAATATACCTATACCATATAAAGGCCATGTGATAGGGATCAACCTAAACCAAACAACCAACCTGGTACCTTGAATCTCAACCTATAGTGAGGTTTGTTCTTCTAGGAATTTGCTGTATTAGCTATGCTGATCTTGGAATACCATGATTTTTACATTAAATAACATGCATTGTTTCATTACAACTGAAAATAGCATCTTGTTGACTCTTAAACAACAGAAAAATATGATAACTTTTCATAGCTATGAAGTTTTTGTTCTTATCTGCAACTGCCCCCCTCCCAAGAGCATCCATGTAGACTCCAGTGGCACAGCCAGTGCTGTGATTGGAAACAGGAGAGTCTGATCATTTTAGAGCTGGTATTGAACAACACACTCATAGATTTCTATTCCAGGTCTCATTCTGTGTCTTGTGCCACATTTCAGTAAAGTGGGGCAATATATACCTCTGTGTTATTGCTTTAATGTCTTGTGCCACACTGCAGTATCCTGTGGCAATCTGTACCTCTGTTTCATCACTTCTAAGTGGGAACAATTTGCCCACTTAATAGGTGTTGAACATTAAGTCCAAACTCAGTTGTTCAGGGTCAATATGAAGTCTTTAGTTAGAACAGTGAGGTAAAGTCTCCTTTTGTGTTTGATCCAATGAGCTCCTTACACAGTCACTCTTGAAATAATTTAATGAGTTACACATTCATTCATTTGTTTGTTCTGTGCCCCTCTTAGTCTACAAGGGTCATGTGAGTAGAAAATGCAATGGCTTCTTACCCTCCATTTCATCCCTAGATTTGGTAATCACTAAGTATCAATCAGCAATTTATTGGTTAAAGAACTATAACCATTGTCTTATCTTTGTTGCCTAGGACTCACTGTCTTTAATAAAAAAAGTAAATACAGAAACTGTTGTTCCTGACCAGTTTCTCACCAAAGGATGGAGATTTCAGATATCACAGAAGCCTATGCCACAACCACAGAATATGACTATGGAGACTCCACTCCATGCCAAAAGACTGCTGTAAGAGCCTTTGGAGCTGGACTCCTGCCCCCGCTGTACTCTCTCGTGTTCATCATTGGCGTGGTAGGCAACATCCTGGTGATTCTGGTGCTCATGCAGCATAGGAGACTTCAAAGCATGACCAGCATCTACCTGTTCAACCTGGCCATCTCTGATCTGGTCTTCCTCTCCACATTACCTTTCTGGATTGACTACAAGCTGAAAGACAACTGGATTTTTGGCGATGCCATGTGCAAGCTTCTTTCTGGGTTTTATTACCTGGGCTTATACAGTGAGATCTTCTTTATCATCCTGCTGACAATTGACAGGTACCTGGCCATTGTCCATGCTGTGTTTGCCCTGAGTGCCAGAACTGTCACTTTTGGCGTCATCACCAGTATTATCACCTGGGTCCTAGCCATCTTAGCTTCTGTTCCTGCCTTATACTTTTTCAAGGCCCAGTGGGAGTTCACCCACCATACCTGTAGCCCTCATTTCCCCTTCGAGAGCCTGCATAAGTGGAGGAAGTTTCAGGCTCTAAAGCTAAACATCTTTGGACTAGTTTTGCCTCTGTTAGTCATGATAATCTGCTATTCAGGGATCATCAGAATTCTGCTCAGACGGCCCAGTGAAAAGAAGGCCAAAGCCGTGCGTCTGATATTTACTATTACGCTTCTATTCTTCCTCCTGTGGACCCCCTACAATCTGGCTGTACTTGTTTCTGCTTTCCAAGATTCTCTATTCACCAATCTATGTGAGCAGAGCAAGCAGCTGGATCTGGCCATGCAGGTGACTGAGGTGATTGCCTACACACACTGCTGTGTCAACCCAATCATTTATGTCTTTGTGGGTGAGCGGTTCCGGAAGTACCTTCAGCAACTGTTTCAAAGGCATGTGGCTATACCACTGGCAAAATGGTTGCCCTTCCTCTCTGTGGACCAACTAGAAAGGACCAGTTCTGTATCTCCATCCACAGGAGAACATGAGCTCTCTGCTGGCTTCTGATTCAGACCGTAGGCGTCAAGCAAGGTCTAGAAGAGAATGAGGAGATCGTATATAGCTCTCCAAGACAGACACTGACAGCTGTTACAGTGAGGATTCCCAATCTTGTAGGCGCAAAGGGAACTTGGAGGTAGCTTAGGTATGAGTCACCTCTTTAATGGTTTCCTTGAACTTCTCTCTTTAGAAAGGAGATAAATAAACAAAATGGGACGTTCCAAAAACTGGAATAATGGTGCCAATGGGTGGCTTGGATCCAAAGAGGGATAGAATCTATGGTTACTAATTTAAAAACAAAGCCACTACTTTTACTGGACTCTACTCCTAATGATGTGATATTCTGAGAAAATTTTAAAGCATCGTAATAGAGAAGACTTTTGCATACGTGCATATTGAAGTATATCATAAAGTATGATGTTATGTCAAAAAATTAAAACTGTAACGAACTAAAGTTTTTCTATCCAGTTATTCTAAGTAATTAGCAAAGAAACGAATAGATCACAGAATAAATGAAATAGCATTAATGTGAAAATATTCATCATAAGGAAATAACAATTATAATATAAATGTTTTTTGGATGCTAAGAGTGGTGAATAAATATTATTTCATTTTACTGCTGAAAATGCACAGTACAAGTCCAGATACGGCAAAAAAAAAAAAAAATAGTCGCTGACTTGTAGTTTGATACAAATGTATTTCTGAAGAGAAATTTGAAAACTTCAAGAATACTCAAAAGCTAAGTAGTCAATTCTAGGGTGATATTAACAAATGCTATTAAAATTTCATATAGTTTAATAATTTCAGAAATATTAAATGTCAGTCAATATGGTGTATTTTAAGGAATTTTTATTGATCTGGGAATATGTTCATAGTATTATTAACTTTAAATGGAAAATAAAAAACTGGCAAAATGGCTCATAGGAAAAGTTACTACTAAGCTTAACAACCTGAGTTCAATTTTAAGAACCACATGATGAAAGGAGAGAACTGACTCCACAAATAGTCCTCCGATCTCTATATGTGCACACATATGGAGACATACACACAAATAAATTAATGCAAAAAATAAAAATACAGGATTCTTTGGGCCCATATTTTATATATAAAAAGAACAAACTGAAAGAATGCATCAATTCATTTTCTTCTGCTATAATAAAATCCCTAAAGCCAGTACTTTATAAAGAACAGAGGTTTGTTTAGGTTGAAGCTTTGGAAACTCAGCATGACCTTCTACTCAGCTCATCAGTGCACAGTAGAGCCTTCACCACCTGTGCACAGGCAAGAAGGCAAAAACCACAGGGAGTGGCAGGAATCTGAGGAACTAAAGAGGCCTGTCTCTTGTGAGGACCACCAAGGGTTCTCTGAGAATGACTTAGTCCCTTTCAAGAGTAATATCCTGATAATATAATCACCTCCCACTTGGCTCAGTGACATTCAAGGTGTCATCACCCATGCACTGAGAATCAAGTCCCCAACATGAGTTCTTGGAGACAACTCCAAACCATGTCAAAGTGAAGACTCCCAGTGGTTACAGGTATGGCAAGGTTTGATCAGGCCAGTGAGTCCCCAGAGTTACAAGTGCGTGCCACCATGCCTAGATTTTTTAAAAGAGGGCTGATGAAAAGCAAACTCGGGTCCTCGTGCTTTCAAAGCAAGTACTTGACCAGCTGAACGACTTCCCCATGTCTTTAAATATTTGTTTCAAGAGTTGTTAAACAAATGAACAAAAAGAAAAAACATGATTCATAAATGGAAAAAGAAACCTTAATAAAAAGATTTTTTTCAACCTTTAAAACTTTCCCATTTCAAAGATATCATTAAGAAAATTAAAAGACAAGGAATAAAATGAAAGAAAACACTTAAAAAATATAACCTGATATAAGACATATTCAGCAGTCATAAAGAGCTCCTACAGCTCAGTAGTAAGAAAACAAACAATCTAGCCAAAAAAGTACAAAAAAAAAAGAACACATATTTCACTGCAGAAAGTCGACAAATGACTAAAGAAATGTTAAAATTTTTTTATTTATTAGAGAATTAAAGTCACAAAAACCACAGTCACATTGCTTTTCATATTCAATGGAATTACTATGAGACATACGTCATACACAAATAAATGCTAACAAGGATATGGAGATACAAACCCTCACATGCCGTTGGTAGTGTTGTAAAATGATACAACTGCTTTGGAAAGCAATTTATTTTTCCTGAAGATGTTAAACATTAACTTAACACTCCCACTTCTCAAGAATATCCAAGAGAAAGAAAGCATGACCTCCCCCCCAATTCTGTGTATGATCACTGCCATAAATAAAAATGATCTATTTATATCTCTCTATTTAGACGTATCTATTGGCTGGTAAGTAGATAAAAATGTATATCTGTTAAGTGGAGTTCTTCTTTAAGATTTGTTTTTAGTTTTATGTATGAGTATTTGCCTTCATGTATATATATGTACACCACAGGTGTGCCTGGTGCCCATAGAAGCCAAAGATGATGTCAGATTGACAAGAACCAGAGTTCCAGAGTTCCAGACTGTTGGGCTATCATGTAGGTGCTGGAAACCAAGCCCAACCCTTATGCAAGAGTAGCAAGTATCCTACTGGGTAATAAATGGCAGAAAAAAAAAAAAGCTGGTACGGTGGCAAATGCCATAATCCTTGCATTAGGGAGATAGAGGCGGGTGGCCACTTTGAGGCCAGTCTGGTCTGCAAAGCGAATTCCAGGACAGCCAAGTTTGTTACAGAAACCCTGCATCAAAACAAACAAACAAACAGCAAAATACTAGCATCTTTTATGTGGTAAGAGAGCCTAAGAAACATAATGTTGTGTGAAAGGATTCACCTCAAGAAGCCACCTCTTACGTGATTTCATTCATGTGCAAAGTCCAAAAGACAAAAATATAGAAACAGAAAGTAGATTAGCTTGAAACATCCTGGACTGGAAGCAGACTGTGAGGAATGTGAGTGAACTCGGTAGAGGGATAGGAAAAACAAAATTGGGATGATCGTATCAAGTAACATTAAAACACTCTACCTTATAAATGGAATGAAGGCACTTTACTATGCAGAACATACCTCATAAAGTTACTAATATTTATGTGATTGTTTAAAAAACAAACAAACAAACAAAAACCTTCTCCAGAGGCCTGAAAAGGATGTTAGATTGATATATTCCAAGGAACCAGGGTTATTTGCAGTTGCAGAATAAACCTCCTGACATAGATACTGGGAATCAAGCTGAGATACTATACAAGACCAGTACATGTTTTTAACCGGCAAGCCACCTCTCCAGCCCATAAAATGTGTGTGATTTTTACCCCTGAGGAATATTTGAAACTTGTAGCAAAGAATTGACAAAAAAAGAATTCCACATTTTTAATGTTCACTGTTTAATTTTGTTTGTAATAATTATGCCCTCTCTGTGATTAATGTGACCATTTTATGCAGAATATGTCACTATAAAAACTTCATAAATAGAATTATTGTCTAGTATACAATATTCCAGTGCAGCACCAGCAATTATCAGCTCCCTGAGAAGTCCCAGAACTTAAAATACAAAATCTCTTGCCAAGCTAACAGGACTCACAAAGATCAGACTGTAGATGTTAATGTCCCTGGTAATGCTGGTGAAGACTGAGATACATGTTTAACTTTCAAAACCAGTGTCTTATGTTATGTTGTGAGCTGTTCAGAGAGAAATAAACACCATCCCTTCCCACTTCCTCTGGAATGTTTCACCACAGTAATTAGTCTGCAAAAGGTGAACACACTCACAGTTGGTCTAACATATGTTTGGTCAAATTTCTAAAAAAAATTTCCCTGTGTAAAAGGAGGTCTGTGAGGTCTTCTGGTCATTGCCATTCTCAGGAATGGTTGACCCCCACATGCTGAGGGTTTCTACTCCTTGCCTTTGCATATTATTTGATCCTGGGGTCTTCCTTCAGTGATTCTTAGACCCTAAAAGGGGAAGGTGGGAAGATTGAATTACTGAAGAGGAGAAGGCAAAACAACTCCAAAAGTCACAACTGAGGAATTCTGCCAGCCAAGAACAATTTAAAAAAAACAAAAAACAAAGAATAGATTTGTCTATGGAGTCAAGAGAGGAAACCATCTCTTTTAAGCCCAGTAAGAATCATTTGAGACCTCTGGCATCCACACTGTAGGAGATTAAATGTGTGTTGCTTTTAAGACCTAACATCTGTGTGAAATTGTTATAGTGGGTACAGGAAATTCATATAGACAACATGGTTACAATTGTATCCTTCTTATAGCCAGGCACCTAGCCAAATGGTAGTTGATACCTGCCCCTCCTTCCTTTCCTATCTAGAAACCTGATCCCCAAATATCATACAGTACCTCTTTTGTTCTTGTTAATGTTGTTTTGTTTTTGAGATAAGTTCTTATATGTAACTCAAACTATCCTCAAATTTGTTATGTAGCCTAGTCTGGTCTCAAACTCACAACACCTTCAAGTGAAGAGGCATTGACTCTCAAGTTTGGATGTTTTTCATGTTTAGAAACTTATCTCACGAACATTGTTATAACCACTACGATGTTGCAAGACTAGTCACTTGCTGTTTTTCAGTTCCACATTTCATCCCTCACAAAGGCTTAAAGAGTCCACAGAAGGTTATTTCCAGGTCAGAAATCCCCCTATGATAGGCCAAAAGAAGGTCATTGTTCCTCTGTGTTCCTCTAGCAACTAGGAATTGCCTTCTTCCAATAATTCTCAATGCTATTCTTCATTTATTCTGGGCCAGCCAACCTTGGGCTACAACATAAGAACCCAGGCAGCCATCAACACAAGGAGCATCTGAGGAAGATCAAGACCAACCTCTGTCTGCCATGTGGTATTGTGGGGAAGTGAGAGATGCCCTCCTCCCATACCTCATCCCTCAACATCTGTGGTAAACAGGGAAGCTGGCCACGTCCTTCACTGGCAACAACACTCAGAGAGAACAGGCCCTCTTCCTCACCTGGGCAGCACAATAGATCTGGTCCTTCTGGGATGGGCTCTTGGGCTCCGGTGGGCCAGACGACCTGAGAGCGGGAGAGCGGAGAGCGGGAGAGCTGGCTCTGCCCCTTGCTGCTTGTGGCACTGGATGAGCTAGCCTAGGTGGTGCTGGAGAACGTGCTCTGATGGTGTAGGTTTGGGGTTGTTTAAGGGCTGATCAGCTCAGATACCACCCAGACCCAGATACAGGGCTTTGAATTGGCCCACCTGCTGGAGCTCTTGAAGGAGCCTGTCATACAAATCCAAAGCTGCAGGATCTCTGTGACACAGTAACAGGATAACCGAGAGGAGGTCCAGTGAAGATCCAGTATTGACAGTGTAGCAAAAGCCAGAGGCCTCAAACCAAACCAGTGACTCCTTGCAGTGAACATTTGCAAAGAAGTGTGGACAAAAAGGTATACTGTGAGATACACCATAGATCCCACACGAGATTGTTTTCTTTTTCTTTTTCTTTTCTTCTTCTTCTTCTTCTTCTTCTTCTTCTTCTTCTCCTTTTCTTTTCTTTTCTTTTCTTTTCTTTTCTTTTCTTTTCTTTTCTTTTGGTGGAGAGGTTGCAGAGGCAAAGGGTGGAAACAAAGAGATGGGAAGATGAGTGGGTTTGGAGTGCATGATGTGAAATATACAAAGAATCAACTGAAAAGTTAAATTTCAAAAAAAAAAAAAAAGAATACTGATTAATATACTGAACCAGAATCTGAATAATAGAGACTGGGTATTTTTATTTTTGTTAACCCTTTAAAAACCACAAAGGTAATTCTGGTGTACCATTTTGATTGAGGAATACTTTTCTTGATCAGTGATTGACAATCAGAAGCAACTTTGGATATGCTAGTAGTATCTAACCTGTAGATGATTTGAATGCTGCTAAACATCCTGTAATGTGTACAGCAGGTCCCT